CACTTACAGGAGTAGGGGTGAGGGGTCACTTACAGGAGTAGGGGTGAGGAGTTACTTACAGGAGTAGGGATGAGGGGTCACTTACAGGAGTAGGGGTGAGGGGTCACTTACAGGAGTAGGGGTGAGGGGTCACTTACAGGAGTAGGGGTGAGGAGTTACTTACAGGAGCAGAAATGACTCACAGACAGCTGCACCCCCAAAGCCCACCCCAGCAGGGGTGACAGCTCCCAAACCCCGGAACCTGGAGCACACTGCACAGCCTGCAGGCGGCTCATGAGGCTGGAGAGCGTCCTTCCCGGGTTCTTCTCTCTTCCTGGCACCGGGCCTGCCCTGAGGCTTCTTCTCAGCTCTTCTCCTCTGAGCATTGTCTTGGCAGCTCCACTCACCTAAGAGTCTTCTTGGCATCCGCGCCCTCATCTGAGCAGTGCTCTCAGGTTTTATGCTTACTCTGGCAGGGAGGGGCCCAGAGAATCTGCTCAGTTTCAGGGACTTCCTGAAGCTGTTTTGAGTTGTTTACTTTCCTGCTGAGGGGGCTTCCCCGCTGGACCGAATGTTTCAATCTCAGAGGAAACTGTTACACAACCATCTCCCAGAACAAGCATTTAAAAAAAAAAAAAACAAACAAAACCCACCCCGGCACACACCTGTCATCCCTGCACTTGGGGGAAGGGAAAGGGCAGACAAGATACCTCAGGCTTGCTGGCCAGGAACTCTGGCTATAACTCAGCAAGCTCCAAGTTTAGTGAGAGGCATTCTTTCTCAAAAAATGAAGTACAACTAAAGACACTTGACACTAGCCTCTGCCACACACACACATACCACACACGTACACATGGATACCCCTTAATATGCACACATACATATGCATAAATAAATTAATAAAGCTGGTAATGTATTTCAGTATTGTGGTGGTTTGAAAGAAACTGGCCCCCAAAGGGAGTGGCACTATTAGGAGGCGTGGCTTTGCTGAAGTAGGTGTGGCCTTGTTGGAGGAAGGGTGTCACTGTGGGGGTGGGCTTTGAGGTCTCCTTTGCTCAAGCTATACTCAGTGTGGTAGACAGTTCATTTCCTGTTGCCTGTGGATCAAGACGTAGAACTCTCGGCTCCTTCTCCAGCACCATGTCTGCCTGCATGCCACCATGTTTCCCCACTGTTAAGGTCCTGGAGAAGTCCCACAAAAGACCACCATCCATGTATTCAATCAACAAGAGTGTTTATTATCTCGAGACTAAAGCATGCTGGGGCCACACATCCTACACATTGGCAAAATGGGGACCCAGAGAGGAGCTCACAGGCTCCTTTTAAGCACAGCTAAGGGGAGTTTCAGGGACAGTTAGGTCATCCCAGATATGATTGGCTTACACAAGTGGCAATCATATTAGTACGTCCTAATTGGCTAGGGCTAGCAGGGGCTGGTTAAGGCTACAGTTTTCCATTTGGGGGCAGGCCTGGACGAGTCTCAGGTTTAGTACTTTTTTGGTTATTACCTTGAGCCACTGATTGTGGGGACTGGCCCAGTGGCCCGGGCTTGGTACCTGGTATCTCCCTCATCCCTGCTGTGAGGGGTGCTGAACAGTGACTGTCCTTTGTGGCTTCCTCAGAAACTGCCTGTCCAGTTTCAAGGAGCAGGAACTGAGGCCTAGTCCTTAGCTGAGTTATTAGGAGCCTGCCGTGGTGTCTGCCTGGCTTTCTCCCCCCGGCCATGACAATGGACTGAACCTCTGAAACTGTAAGCCTAGCCTCAGTTAAATGTTTTCCTTTATAAGAGTAGCTGTGGTCATGGCGTCTCTTCACAGCAATTAAAACCCTAACTAAAGCAAGTAGGAATTTACAAAGCTGTACTGCTCAATTATAACATTTTCCCAACATTTTATTATTTTCAGAGACATTTAAAGCTGTCATTTAATTCAATCTACATTTTAGATAATGAAAAAAAAACATTGTTTGAACACATTTTCATAGGGAATTTATAGCCCAAGAACTAAGAATTTTGGTGTCTGACTTTTTTTTTTAATTTGCAAGGGTTTTTTTTCTATAATAAAGTTATTTTTAAATTTTTTTTTTTAAAGATTCAAGGTAGACATGGTGACACAAGCCTTTCACCTCAGCATTTGGGCGACAGAGGCAGGAACATCTCTATGAGTTCAAGGCCAGCCTGGTCTACATAACAGGCTCCAGGATAGCCAGGGCTACACAGAGCAACACTGTCTCAATAATAACAACAAAAAGATCCATGAAACGAAGTTTGAGAAGCACTGGTATTTGCAGTTCTGTTTTTCTCACTAAATATAATGTCATAACAATTTTCCTAACGGTCTCATTTTAACTTACAATAGGAAGAAGGTAGGAAATATAAAGTGATAGAATAGGTTTTCTTTTCTATTTATTTACGTTTGAGACAAAGTCTGATCGTATAGGCCAGCGTGGCCTGGAACTGGCTACTGACCCTGGTCTCTTCCTCCCAAGTACTGGAATTACAGGTGTGCACCATGCTTGGCCCTCCGATTTATCTTTTTTCACAGCATCTGAGAAAGAAGACAAATATTCATGTTATACAGTCCACATTTTATCCCTTTAGTAACCACTCCCAAAGCTCCCTTCCACTTTCCTGTGGCCGTGACTTCTAATCTGTAGCTGCCTGCTGGACCAAATCTGTAATAATCAGGTCATCTGGACTACAGGACAGCTACTAAGCCCATTGTGCATGTTATTAGGGAGATGGCAGCGTGCCCAGTGAGCACATAAAGTGTCCCACAGCTGTTAGGCTGGGGATGTCCCCAGGGAGCCGCTGGGATCCATCTGGATGAGTTCCCGAGGGAGAAAGACAGCTCTGCTTCAACATTCCCTTTGCTCCTGGGTACCTTTCTTCAACAAAAAGTGACATCCAGTTTCTTAAGCACTTCAAAAGCCTGCTCATCCTTGAATCTAGCTGCCTACCTGTCTACTGGTCTACAGTAAACACCGTTAAAAGCTTTTGGCAACAAGTACACAGCAATATGCCAACAAATACTGGTGTTTGTCACAAAATCCTAATTTCTTTCTCTCTTTTTCTCCTTTCTTCCCTCCCTCCCCCTTTCTCCCATCCTTCTCAGCGCCAGAGATGAAGCCCTGAGCCTTGTACTTGGTAGGCAAAGCATTCTCCGGCTGAGTTCATTCCCAACCCTCTAATCTATCATTTCTACCACTTGTGAGGTAGAAAATACCAGATGTGAACTCTGGCTTCCCAAATGACAGACCTGGCTTTAACTAGTACCAGAGACCCCGTGAGCAATGTTCATTTTTCAAAATGTTCTCGAGACCTACTGTAGCTCAACAGGCCTTTTCCATTTCCAGATTTCTTAAGTCCTGACAAATGAGAAATATTATTCTCTGGACCTGGCTCTCATGATATACCCAGGCTGGGCGTGAACTCCCAGGCTCAGTCTCTCGGGCTCGGCCTTCTGAGCAGCTGAGACAACCTAGGCTCCCCCGCCGAACCCCAGCTTGACCGGTGCATGTTAATGCTTGAACTCAAGTGTGTCAAGAAGCCAAAGAGAAACCTTCCAATGACAGACCTGTGTGCTCCCCAGAGGACTGACAGGAGAGCTTTGTGGTGAGGAATGGCGTCTGTCATTCACTTGGAGTTCCCTTAGGTTTTATGGTAGCGTGGTAAGCTAGCACACTGTTAGGATTCGGCTACCACGCCAGCGGCATGACTGCACATGCTAAGCAAGCAAGCAAGGTTTTTTTTTTTTGTTTTGTTTTTTTTTTTTGAGACAGGGTTTCTCTGTGTAGCTTTGGAGCCTGTCCTGGATCTTGCTCTGTAGACCAGGATGGCCTTGAACTCACACAGATCCACCTGCCTCTGCCTCCCGAGTGCTGGGATTAAAGGTGTGTGCCACCGCCGCCCGGAGGGGTCTTATCATTTTTAAAACAACACACTGCCTGCTTCAGTGCAGTTGCCAAAGGCCATGGGCCATTCACTTTAGTGCAATTTCTGAATGAGCTCCTCCGCTGAGTTTAGATGATAAGCAAATCACAATCGCTGGTTTTGAGCGCCTTCAACTTCTCTTTCCCGTTCTTTAATTCTACTTGGGATTTTCCTCTTGGTACTCTGATTCTCTTTGGTGTAGCCAGGGTCGCGGTAGCTGATATGCCAGAGGTTTGCCCGCCACTCTCACTGGACTGGCATTTCTGCCCAGATGTCCGGTCGACATTCTCTTGACTCATCGTATCCTCCTTGTCCTAGACCATTGTCCTTCCGGTCTGGCCAGATCCATTTTTCCCTCTTTCCCGTTCCGTCTGGGTTAGTGCCCCTCGGTTTTGCTAACGAGAAGCCACCCTTCCTCTCTCAATCCAGTGTCTCCTCTGGCTCTGGAACGTGGGTGTTGCACCCGTGGTGACTAAGTCAGCCCAGGATAGGGTGCGTGGCTCCAGAGGCAAAGCTGTAGGAACGGCTACCCCACCACTCCACTCCCCCGGTCTCTGGTGCCCCACCCCCCAACTCCGATTCTTGCTTCTACTGAGTTCCGATTCCGGCTGCTTCTCCCTCCCGAGAGCTAGCACTGCTCTACGTCCTTTAAAACATTAAACTAGACAGATGATCGCCACTAAAGCCTTTAAAACTAGAAAGCCCTGAAATGCTCCCCCCACCCGATGTCCCTGTTTCTGTTAGGGGTCTCTCAGTCCTCTGTCATTAACTGAGAACTTGATGTTCATGACGTTCATTTTTGTGCAAAGGTGTTTTGAAAGTCTTCAAGGGGGCCTGGCAATTCTCCCGACTGTTGGAAGAAACTACTCTGTCCTCTGTGTAAAAGGCCGTTCTAGCATCTTCAGCCAGCAAGGCTTTTCTCGTCTTCCCAAATGCAGGATCCTCCCTCCCACCTAAGCATGTTGTACTTCTACCTTAGACCACTTAGTCATTTTTTATACACCCTCACTGTACTTGCCAAATTGCAGACCTTAGGCAAGAATTGTATCTTGCTCGTACTATGTGCTCTGAATGACCTCATGGTGCCTAGCAGGTCGTAAGGTATCCAGTTACTTTCGATGGACTACAAAGTATTTGATTTTTGTTGTAAATAGGTTTTTTTTTAATAATTGTAAATTGGATACTTAATATGCTCAGTTACTTTTCTACAGATTCACACTTTTAGCTGTTCCTTCTTATTAACAGGGAGTATTGACACAGACCGTATTTATCACAACATCAGTTTATGCACTGGAATTTGATATTGACTTTATCTTCCATATTTTACTTAGGTCGATATTTTATTAGACAATAGTCAATTCAATTTGGAAAGAGACTTTACTTCTTTTAAATTATTTTTTGTGGCTGCTTAATACTTATAGATGTTCTATGAATCAATAAAGGAGTAAACTGTGTTATCTGGATTTGCCTACTGAAACCCCCCACCTTGCCTGTAACACAATTTTCCATTTGCTTTATGTAGGTAAATGTGAATGTAAGGAACAAGTGTTAGGAAACCCCAAGGCATTCTGTGGAATGAAGTATTCATATGGTGAGTTTGAAGTCCTCGATGCTTGTATACATCCTATTCAAGCTAAGTACAGCGCTTCCGAAGGAAACCAGAGGCTGATGAGATTCCGTAGCACATAACATGCTTGGGAAATGCTAAGATGACTGTGAGGCATTAAGATTGGTGATTCAGACAGGTAATGAGGGCACACGCCTTTAATCCCAGCATTCAGGAGGCAGAGGCAGGAGGACCTCTGTGAGTTCGACGCTAGCCTGGTCTACAAAGCAAGTTCCAGGACATCCAGGGCTACACAGAGAAACCCTGTCTTGAAAAACAAAATAAAACAAAACAAAAAGATTGGGGATTACCTAGGTCTGTCCCCCAATATACCTATAAACACTCTTTACCATTCACATGCCTCCCCCCAAAAATACAGCATATGGAGAAACAAAAATGGAGTTTCTCTAAATAATGACTATGTATTGGTTTACAAATATTTCTCAATTATTAAACATTAAAAGAAGGGTCTGGGGGACCTGGAGAGATGGCTCAGAGGTTAAGAGCACCAACTGCTTTTCCAGAGGTCCTGAGTTCAATTCCCAGGACCTACATGGTGGCTCACAACCATCTGTAATGAGATCTGGTGCCCTCTTCTGTGTACATAATAAATAAATAAATCTTTAAAAAGAAGGGTCTGGAAAGATGACTCAGCAGTTAAGAGCATTTGCTGGACTAGCAGCGGACCAGGGCTCACTTCCCAGCATGCATATAGTAGCTCACTACTATCTGTGACTCTAGCTCCAGGGGGAACTGACGCCCTCTTCTGGCCTCCATGGGCACCAGGCACACATATGGTGCACAGACACACATGCAGGCAAACACTCATACACATAAGATAAAAATAAATAAATCTTTAAAATAAATCAAATAAAAGGACACAACAGTCCTGTCATCATGTGGGAGGAGAGCAGTCTACCTCACTAGTCAGCTTACGTTGTACTCCAAAGAACAGTAAATAGTAATAACATTTATACAACATCTGTAAAGTGATGTGACGTATACTCTACCACAGCATTTTGTTCTCTGTCATAACATCATATACAGCAAACCACAGAAGTATAATGTAATCAGAATCTAAATAAAAGTCGGGACAATAGTTCAACTTCCTATTTATTCTTTCTTTATAGTTTTGATATATGAATATACTTTTTTGTTTTGTTTTGTTTGCTTTTGAGACAGGGTTTCTCTGTGTAGCCCTGGCTGTACCGGAACTCTCTTTGTAGACCCAGCTGGCCTTGAACTCAGAGATCCACCTGCCTCTGCCTTGAGTACAGAAATTAAAAGTGTGTGCCACCATGCCTGGCTCAGCTGCATATACTTAAAATTTTATTTACAGAAAGCAATGGATAATATCTTTCTGGTGTCATAATACGGGAAGGGGCAAAAGTTGAAACTGCCCAATAAAGAGAAAATAAAATATAAACGAGGTTAAATCACTGTGAAAATGAATGTGCCTCATGATTTTTTAAAGCAGATTTCCATATTCTGATTTTCATCACTTCACTTTTCATCATACTTGGAAATGAATCTTCAAATAGTTCAAATTTCAAAAGACAACATGAAATCCCGTATGTTTTTTACTTTTGGAATTGTGTCATTCCAGTGTTAAAAATCAAGATTTTATCAGCTCATGATAAAGGCTCACATGCTGAGGTCAATGTGAAGATAAAAAAAGTCTTACAGTCTACGAAACTGAAGATCTTAAGAGGCAAGAGGACGCTTTATCCAGAGTCCTGGACGAACAGAGGCTGCACGTGTCCAATCCTCAACCCAGGTGAGCACTAATTAGACTTAATTAATTAACCTTGTGACCCTTGTCTCTGCATATTGGCTGTCTGTCTCTTCATCCTCTGAACCCAAACTCCGTAAGATCCTGGGTAAAATCCAAAAGGAATTCTTTGAACTGACATTTTAAAAAATACGAAACCCGATCTTCTCCATGTGCTCTAGAAACATAAAATATTTTCAAATCCAGCAGTCTAATACTTTCTGTCCCGAAAGAGAAGCCTCAGATTGGTTCCAGGTGCCCGCTGCACCCGCAGGACTTTCCTGCGCGCACATCTGCCGCTTGTGCGTTGTTTGGAAGCCGGGTCCTCGTCCGTCCGTGAGAACCTGTTCCCAAAGGAAGCAGCGCCAGCTCAAAAGAAAGCCCATCTGTGCAAAGGACTCCGAAACCCTTTTTGACTGTTGCATGAGAAGCAGCTGTTTCTCCTGGACGGAGAACAACTCCCAAGTTTTCATCATGTTGTTTTTCACAAAGTGATCACTCTGGTTTCAAAGGAGAAACAGCAGGGGAAAATCATTTAAACCCAATCTTAGAGAAACTTGGAATGGGGGCAAGATTTGATTTGAACCTTAAAAACATACTGCTGGGATGGTGGTGACGGCCATCGCTGATGAGTTCTTAAGACCCCTTAGAAGTCCGGGCCTTCGTGATTCTATAAAGATGGGACGTTGAGAATGGAGGACCAGCTGAGATAGCGTCCTCCCGTGACAACCTTCCATCAGGGTGTGTAAGAACTCTGCTAAGGATAACCCAAACTGTATCCTATGCATAAACATACACCTCACATACTGTGTCCTCGGCTACTTCTCTGCCTGCCCCCCTTGTTAATCTGAAGACAGGATACAGATTTCCGATCACAGTATATCTTCAATGCCCGTCCAGCATTAGCACCCAAATATATTATAGCGCTAAGATGATAGATTCTAAAAGCCTGCTTCCCTGTGGATTCTGTGGTTTCCTGTTTGTTCTGTAGAAAGGTGCATAATTTATATCCTGCATCTAATGTATTCCCCTTCCAAGCCAGGAAAGCACAGTTATGTTAGAAAGAACTCTTCTGTGTTTTTAATTAACAAATTAAGAGAAACAGATAACAGAGAAAGACTACAAATAAAATATCTCCTTAATCTAAACACTTAAACAGTGATTTAAAATAAAAATAGGTTTCTCAAGTTGACTAATTCCTTATAATCTCATTCATCCCTCTAGTATTTTACTTAATTTCATTTAAATTTCAATAAGATAGATGGGAAAGGTTTTTTTTTTTAATTATAAAGATAAATAGTTCCAAAGCATAAATCTGAAGAATAAGTAAGAATCTTGGATTTTTGAGTCCAGGAAACCAAGAGTCGTTCATTTAAATTCTGTTTCCCAGTGATCTGTGCTTTAGGGCTCTTATGAGCAATTTTCTATTATCTTGGCAAAAGGAAAAAAAAAAGTCTGTCCAGTTTTGCAGAATGACATTAAAAACAAAAGCTTTGACCATCTGAGCCACCCTCCAGGAAGTGAGCTATATTTCCTGCTCAGGTTTTCGCCAGAGTCACAGAACCAACTGAGCTCATCACAATTGAAAACATAAGCGCAATTATTCAAAGAATTCTTGAAAACATGTTTACTTGCTTTGAAGAAAAATCTGGAAGCTGCCAAAGCAAAACCAGACACTGTTTCATTTTGCTTTTGTTTTTCCATTTTTACAAGTTTAATAACAAAAACCATAGAAGGCTGATAAAACAAAACAAAACTCTGAAACCTTACACCTCAACTTACCTCCCGCGCTGCCTTTGAGAAAGAGAGATCTACTGGCCATCCATGCCAGCCCTGTCCTCCGTGACTCATGCATACGTTTCATCCACCTTTGAATACCAATGCTAGCACCAAAGCACACTTCCTTTATTCTATAGATAAAAAACATTGTGCCTTCAAAGACAGAACAAAGCAGACATCCAACTGCAAAGACAGACAGATTAAATGTGAATGCTACCAAGGAATGTAAAAGAAGAGTGTGTTAAGTTATGGTTTGATGCTACTCCGTACATTAGGGGTTTATTCAGTATCACTTATATTAGTTTTATATTGATACTTCAAATGGTAAATTTCTGTACTATTTGTACTACTTACAGCTTTAAAGTAATTTAAAATACTGATCCTGAACTACAAGTTATTATTATTATTATTATTTTAAGCATTTATCTTGTGTATTTGTGTTTTGCCTGCATGCATGTCTGTGCACCACATTCTGGCAGTGCTTATAGGCCAGAAGAAGCTGTCAGATCTCTTGGGACTGGAGTTACCGATGGGTGTGAGCTGCCATGTGGGTGCTGGGAATCGAACCAGGGTCCTCTGTAAGAGCAGCTGCTGCCCTTAAGCACTGAGGCATCCCACCAGCCCTGACGTTTTTGTAAAAGAGAACTTTATTATTTAAACATTAGGCAATAACAAGATATATACATATACAAGTTTTAAAATGTTTATTGTATTTGTAAAGAGAGAGCTTTATTATTTAAATAGTAGGGCTGGAGAGATGGCTCAGCCATTAAAGGCTAGGCTCACAACCAAAAATATAAACAGTAGACAAAGCCGGATGGGCGTGGTGAGCACCTTTAATCCCAGCACTCAGGAGGCAGAGAGCCAGGCAGATCACTGTGAGTTTGAGGCCAGCCTGGGCTACAGAGCGAGATCCAGAACAGGCACCAAAACTACACAGAGAAACCTTGTCTTGAAAAACAAACAAACAAATAAATAGTAGACAATAGCAAGATACACACACACACATACATAAAACACACATACAAACTACACATAGCTTGTAGTCTGTTTTACTACGGATTTAACCTAGATCACTGTGCATTCCCAGGCAAGCATACCTACCTCTGAGCTCCATCCAAAGTCCTTGTTATTTTGAGACAAGGTCTTGCTAAATTGCCCAGGTGACCTCAAACTTGGGATCCCCTTGCCTTGGTGTCCCAACTAGCTATAATAACTAGAATTACAGGCGTGCATCTTTACACATGGCTCCTAAATTTAAACTGATACTTATTTGAATTTTCATATCTAGTGTTATAATTAAAATTTTAAAGTATATATAGCTTTTTCTTAGAAAGTTATAAGCATAACTATTTTTCTGATCTTATATTTTGTAAAATCGTTTCTAAATATCAAAATTGACACCATTACAAATATGTACTGAGGGGCATTATCATTTCCTTAACTAATACATAAAGAGACAATCCATCTCTCTGGGCATTTGTTAGCCAAACTATTTTACTCAAAGCCTGAAATTTTTTTTTTAATTATAAGAGCAGCACTAAATGTGGTCAAAACCTCATCAGTTTTTTCATTTTTGTTTTTGCTTTGTTTTGTTCACAAACAAGCTTCTTGTATTCATTTCTGAAATACAACTGTACAGAGAGAATACGTGTCATTTTATGTCACTCATGGCTACTTCTAACATTTTCCAAATAGATGCTTCACTTTTGTAAAGTTCTTTTTTTGTTTTGTTTTTGTGTTTGTTTTTTGTTTTTCGAGACAAAGGGTTTCTCCGTGTAGCCCTGGCTGTCCTGGAACCACTTTATAGACCAGGCTGGCCTTGAACTTAGAGATCCGCCTGGCTCTGCCTCCCGAGTGCTGGGATTAAAGGTGTGCGCCACCACCACCACCACCACCACCACCACCACCACCACCACCACCACCACCACCACCACCACCGCCAGGTGTAAAGTGCCTCGGAATTGCTGCTGCCACACCCGGTGATCTCCAGGGAATATTCATGTGTCCAGTGCCCACGGATCTCTCACTTCTCTCTCCCTCAGAGTGGAAAGATACACGGGTCAAGAATCAGACAGCCCCGAGTTTGAGTCACGGTACTGCCACTGAGTAGGAGGAACGGAAGAAGTTTCCTAACTTCCGAGCCTCAGTTTCTCATTTGTAGAAAAGGAGAGACGTGATCCTTATTTTATAAGTCTCTAGCAAGGTCACACAAGATACTATGTGTACCGTATTTGGTACAATAATAAACACTACAGGCCAGCTCTTACTGTTTATGACCCTCTGTTTTATCCATGCCTATCTAAAACTATGAACCAGGAATGTATGAAATCACCGGGGTCACATCCCCTCCTTTAACGGAGTATAATGCGTGCATCTCCTTTTCAGGTCTGGAATACCTTGTAGCTGGACACGAGGACGTGAGAACAGGCAAACTGGTTGTGAATATGAAAAGCTTTGTCCAGCACTGGAAACCAGCTCTCGGGAGAAGAGTCATGCATATCTTGAAAAAAGAGTGCCAATAACTAACGCCGGAGCTGTGAGCACACAACGGCTCTTCTCTGGGTCGATACACACGTGGAACGAAAAAGACGCCTCGGAACGAACGAAACTGGAATATTTTTTAAGTGCCAAAATGTAGAGGAAAAAAAAAAATGTTCCAAATGCCTAGGCCTTGTCTGACCTATCTGTTCTGGATCTGTATTTAAATACAGTTTTGTTTCATAAAGAGAACTGAAAGCCCCCGGGCTGAGAGCTGCTGTCTTTGGAACTGGCTCTGAATGGCATAGCTATGGAGAATATTTTAATAGCGATGTGATACTTAGCACTCATCCTTTAAAGGACCGTGTCCCTGACAAGGTCTCTTCCCAGCTTTAGATATGTCATTGACATTGTATTTGATGGTATTTAAGGAATTAAAATGAGATTTTTAGGGATACCCCCGCCCCCCAACTCTACCATCAGGAAAGGTGTTTCTTAAAAAGAGCCTTGTCTTGTGTGCTGTGTGCGGACTTGGGTGCGTGGGGCGTGAAAGGAATTTCGTGTGTGTGTATATAGTATTTCCTCGTGTAAAGCACTTTACCTACCACTGCGTTGTGAAAGTCTGGAGACGGCTGTCGACAGGAGGAGAAGGGCTGTGTGCAGACCTGCTGACACGGAAGTCTGGCCACTGTAGGCGGATAGGGGCACCACGGATAAAGAGAATCGTGCTGCTCAGCTCAAGCCACTGGGAGAAACGCTGTAGAGATGCGACAACCTCAAAGGAGAACATCTGTGTGAAGTCTCTGTTTGGGGTGACAGGGCTAGACCGTTAGGGACTGGCCGTAATGAAACTTAAAAAGAGATAGAGAGACTTTAAAACAAGAGAAAGGAACCCTAAATGGAGAAATATAAAGGGGAAGTAGGCATTCTATGTCAAAAAGGCTCATTTATTTGTGATGCACTTGTACACACTTGGAAAATTATTGTAAACACAGAATTTGTTCTATTTTTATGTTTAGTATTTAAACATGAACATTGGACCAGTTTTCTTCCTTCTTTTATTAACAGTACATGGTCATGACATTTACGCGTTTCCTAACACAACATATGTGATAGTTCACCAGATTACTGTTTTTCATTATCCTTCATTTTCTTTATCCAGACATAACCACGCTGCATACAGTGTCTACTGTACTTGAATTTACAAACCAGGAACCACAGTGCCGAAACCTTAGGTTCATATCCGGAGCATATTTTTCCCTGAGGTCCTGTGGACTCACAAAAATATATATATGTTGCTTTGTGAATTTGTTTTTATATTTCATGTATGTAATAAAGGACTATGACCTCCTGACCTTTGTCTCCTGGCCAGTTCTTCAATGGTGCTAAAGATTAACTTCTTTTAATAAAGGAACTTAAATTGAATTCCTTAAATTAAGAAAATTAATTATGGGGGAAATGACTTATTGGGTAAAATCATTTGCCATGCAAGCCTTATGACCTGAGTTTGAACCCCAGAACCCACACAATAATTAAGAAATGAACTGACACCGGGTGTGGCGGTGCACACCTTTAATCCCAGCCCTCGGGAGGCAGAGCCAGGCGGATCTCTGTGAGTTCGAGGCCAACCTGGTCTACAGAGCAAGATCCAGGACAGGCTCCAAAACTACACAGAGAAAACCTGTCTTGAAAAAACAAAAACAAAAAGAGCAAATAGAAAAAAAAGAAATGAACTGACTCAGGCAAGTTGTCCTCTGATTTCTACATATGCCAACACACCACACACACACTAAATTAATGTCAAAAAAAAAAAAAAAAAAAGGAATGGAGGGGAGGGGAGGGGAGGAGGGGAGGGAGGAGGGAGAGAGAGTGCGTGCCTCAATAAGGAGGAGGGAGAGAACTAACTCCGGAAGACTTGTCCTCCAACCTGCACACACACTCTCAACAGATAATCTTGAAAGAAAATAAATAAATCGTGGAGAAAGACTGCATCTCTACCCAGTTGCTCTGAGATTTCGGGACGAAGCAGAAGCCAGTCCCAATGGATTTTCTTTCTGCAGCCTCTGCACACGGCATTGCCGTTTTTTATAGCACACTTACTTTTTCTATTTTTGGTTGTGCCCCTGGCCTTTAACGGCCGAGGCCTCCCTCCAGCCCAACACACTTATGTTTTAACTCATTTACTTCTGACACTAGTTAGCAGGGAGGGTTCCCGCCCCAGCACTCAGGGCGAGGTCAGAGGGCAGCTGGCAAGGTCGTTCTCCCCTTCACTGCTGGGGCCCCAGGAGTCTTACCCAGGTCCTCAGGCTGGCGCAAGCCCCCTCTGCCCATAGCGCCATCACCTGCCCTTAAAAATTAAAAGAGTTCAGTGCCGAACATACAGAAGGGGGCGCGTGGAATGGCTCAGGGGGTATCCGTGTCTGTCACCAAGCCTCACAACCTGAATTCAACCCCGGGGTCCCACAGGGTGGAGGGGGAAGGCTGGCTCCCCAAAGCTGGCCTCTGATCTCCATACATGCACGGTGGCACATGTGGGCATACGCGCGCGCGCGCGCGCGCGCGCGCACACACGCACACACACACACACACACACACACACACACACACACAAAGATAGTATGAGAAAAAAATATTTCTATTCCAACTATCCTCTACTAACAATAGTATTTAGTGTTTATGTGTAGACCGTGTGTGCATGTGTGCTTGTGTGTGTGTGTGTGTGTGTACCTTTTATACGATTGGGACTATATTATACATACTCTTGCGAAATCTGTTCTCGCCTGTCGCATGTCTCCCAGCTTATAACTTCTTCCTAACTATCCCAGAAGGTGAACGAGGACCTACTTTTGCAACTTACAGGCAACTTATGAAACATGTTGGTTAGCATGCCATACCCAGAAAAATAGTTTGAAAGCATCAGATTTAGAATTTCACTTCACTTAAAATATGGCGGCTATTAAAAATAATAATAATAATAGAGCATGAAATGGGAAACATTAAGTAGGGGAGCAACTTCAGAACAATGCATAATTCTCCCCCAACCTAAAGATACATTTATTGGATGACATAGTATCTTAAAACTTCTAAAAGACAGGTCATAGTGATATCCGTCCTGCTAGGGGAAATAGGTTCCTCTTTTATACACGTCTGTACTGCCTGACACGCTTTCACTCATCCTACAGTACTTTGCAATTTACTTTTCCCAACAATTAAAATTCAGTGATTTTTCAAATATGATCGAGTAACGGCATAAACTAAAAGTTTGATTTTATCTCATTTGCCTAATCATTGGGCTTTAATAGTTTCCATTTCTGTAACAAACAGCTCAAAGTGTCCCCTGGCCTAAGGCCCATATGTTCAAGACTGGGTCATCCACGCTGACGGAATGCTTAGGAGGTGGCCCCCGGAGACAGGAAGGGAAGCGCCCTGGGAGGAGATCTTGGGGGTACAGCCCTTTCCTTCCTGGACCTCTTTGATTTCGGGCTGCCGTGAGGGGAGGTGCTTTGCCCTTCCACACTCCCACCATGAACAACATGGCCAAGTGCCCGTGGATTGAAAAACTTCCATTACTGTGAACCAAAACCAGCGCCCCCCACCCCCACCCCATTTAAGACGTTCACCTTGGGTTTTTTGCTACAACAGAAAGCTGATTACCAAGGCCCTCTGTGACTGGAATTTCCCTTCTTAGAGTGGCTCTTTAAAGCACATTTCTTGCAACATTAAAAAGAAATCTTTATTATAATAATTCCTTAATATCTTGATTCTAAAATCACGCGCAGTCTTTCTGTTGCCGCTTTTAACCTCCTGGGAGCACCCTTTCATTTCCAAAGTGTGGGTGAGGTCAGTCTTAGAGAAGGAAAAAGGGAAGAATTCTTCTTTTGCGCCCCACTACCTCCCACCCTCCATCCCTGCCAGGGCTCTGTATGTATGTTCTCGTCTGAGCATTTTACAAAATAACCACCTGGGTATTGAGTCAACAGAATCAAATCGAACTTCCATGTATGGCAGCATAGGAACCCAAACACATCCCTCAGGAGCTCCTAGGAAAGTCTACGTCCCTGGAGCATTCTTCCGGGTACCACAGGGCCATTCAGTCAGCCGATCATTGAGCAATCTCCACATACCTATCCCGATGTGCCTGGGGTCAACACAGCCTGTGTTCTCCTCTTACATCATTTCCCCTGTAGAGGAATGCTGCTAATACTTAGTATTTGATGCAATGGAAAGTCTCAATAATAGGGTAATCTTTTAATAGTGTCCATGTAATGAGGTCAGATCTGTGGGGATGTGACCATGAGTCAAGAAGCAATGTGCCGGATTAAGCAAACAGCAAGTCCTAGTATGGGTAAACAGTTCTTTGGGACACTTGAAGTTCTTGCAAAACAAATCCTTTTTTTTTTTTTTTAAGTGATCAGAGACGAAGGGTGGGAAAAAAAGCCCTTGAAAACGTCTTGCAGTGACTCTCCCTCGGCCACTCCCCTGGAATGCCTGAGAGTAAGGGTGAGCGCCCCATTGGCCTCTTGTCAGAAGCCCCGGGACGGGACCGCTTTTGTGTCCATTGTTTAGATGCTCAGCAGTCCCCTGGTGTAACCTTATCAAACTCCACGTTACTCACCACTTATTTCCCACAGTTTAGAAGGAAAATATTTATGAACAGCTTCAATTTTGCAAGGGAGATCGGTATGATAAGAATGGAACGGAGGCAAAGGAGTGTGCCCCGCATGACTGATGGCTTGTTTCCAGTCGTTCTCTCGGAGAAGGATGTGTCTGGATGTGCTTTCTCAAGCACGATGCTCCTGGCCCTGCATTGCAGCAAAGACATATAAATGTTTCTGTACTATTCAAGCATTAACGAATACGCTTGAAACCTATCATCTTTTAAATGATAAATACTTAGGTCTCTAGTATTCACATATGCTGAATAACTAAAAATGCAGAGAAAAAAAGAAATATATGCTGGACCAAACACTTACTTCTAAAACGTGAGATTGCTCATTCCAGGAAGGGGTAGGGATACAGCTCCACAGTAGAATGCTTGCTTAGAATGCCCGAGTGGCCCTGGATTTGATAAGTCAGAGTACGTTTCTCTGAACAGGAGGAAACAGAAGCCAGACGAGGCATCTTGCTTGCCAGAAAGAAAGGCCACTTCTTCTAGCAAATTTTCACAGCCTCAGTATAATGATCTGCTCAGAACTCCTGGGTGCTACCAGGAGTAGGAAATAAAACCCAGTGTGGTGGCGCATGCCTTTAATCCCAGCATTTGGGAGGCAGAGGCAGGAGGATCTCTCTGAGTTTGAAGCCAGCCAGGGCTACAAAAGGAGATCCTGTCTTAACAAAAACAAAAACGAAGCAAACAACAACAACAAAAATTTGGTGAATGAAAAACTAATAATAACAAATAACAATTAAGAATTTCCGGGGTTGGGGATTTAGCTCAGTGGTAGAGCACTTGCCTAGCAAGTGCAAGGCCCTGGGTTCGGTCCTCAGCTCCAGTTAAAAAAAATTTTTTCCAAGTGAGGACAGGAAGAGGCAGTCCACATCTGGCGATGTAAACCTGACAACTGAGTTTGGTCCCCAGAACCCACACAAAGGTGGAAAGGGGGAACCGATCCCACAGAGTTGCCCTGTGACCTCCTGATGTGTGCCATGGGACACACACCCATCTGCCCACATACACAATACCAAAACAACTACATTTTATTTGAAGAATTCTACAAGCGAGGTACCTTTCTAAGTGCCTCTCAGATATCATTCTCACTCTGTCCTCCTAAATGCTCCTGATATGCGTCGAATTGCTGTGCCCATTTCCCAGATGAGGACACTGAGGCAGAGAGAAACCGAACTGTTCAAGGGCGCTCTGCTCATATGTGTGAAGCCTGGATTTGAACCTGCACGTTTTAATTCACAAAGGTCATGTCTCGAAAGGATTCGGGATCAGAAGAGCATCCATGGGAACTGATGCCAACTGTGACATCCTCCTGTCTGTCCTCTCTCTTGGATCATGGTTGAGAGAAGAGCATTGCAACTCTACATTTCTCTCGGTTTCCTTCTCCAAACGCCGATGTTTTCTATTACATCCTGTAGTCGTGTGACTTCCTACTCTCTTGGTCACGGCTACAGCGCCGCCTGCCACACGATTTCTCCTCAGACAAAATGGTGAGAGCCTCTCTTGGGCCTTCGCCCTTGGCCTTGCTTCGTAAGGTCCATCTGGGCAGAAAAAAGCTGCAGCAGGAGCGACCCTGGCCAGGCTACTGTGAGACTCAGCAGCATTTCAACCCAGTCCTCTCAGCTGTGACTCGGGCTGTGCAGGCGAACCCTGCTCGCAAGATGAAAGAGAAGGCGTTACACCCGAGC